ATATTCGCCTTTCGGATTTCATCAGCTTTCAAGACGGTTTCAAAGCCCCCGAGATCGCCTCAAGACGCCCCGAAAGGCCCCCAAGAAAGCCTCAAGACGGCCGAGCCGGGCCCCACGTTCGCCCGCGAGATCCCCAAGACAGCCCATAATGGAACCAAGAGGCCCCCCAAGGGCTCCCAGCACAGACCCAAAAGGGCCATGGGAGGTCCCCGAAGTGCCCAAGATGGGTCCAAAGGGGGCCCCAGCGGGCCCAAGCTCCCCAAGACGGCCCAAGAGGGCCCCAGGACGGCCCATGAAGGCGCCAAAACGGCCCACGAGGGCCCCGAAAACACCCCCACGATGTTTCCGAATGCCAACATAAAGACCCCCACGGCACACCAAAAAGCTTTCAAAGGGGCCTTCAAACCACAAAAATCGTCTCATTCCCTTCGTAAAACATACAATTACCGAACAGCGAAAACTGATAGGTTTCTAATGGTTTCAAAAGAAAGCATCATGACTCTCCAGGAGGGTCTGGGCAGGATCCGGGGAGAATCCGCGGAAGTCGCTCTAAGCAAACAGTAACACACTTCGTGGTCTTCGAGGTCCCAAAACTCCATTCCAGGGCCACATTCTGAATGCCCGAAACCAACTGTAGGCCACTTCGTGTTCTTCGAGTTCCCAGAACTCCATTCCTGGGCCACATTCTGAATGCCCGGAGCCAACTCTAGGCCACTTCGTGCTCTTCGAGCTCCCAAAACTTCATTCCCGGGCCACATTTTGAATGCCCACAGCCAACTGTAGGCCACTTCGTGTTCTTCGAGTTCCCAGAACTCCATTCCCAGGCCACATTTTGAATGCTGAGGCAGGCTGATGTTGAGGCTGAGGCAGGCGGAGGCTGAGGCCGACGCTGAAGGCAGACTGAGGCTGAGGCTGAGCAGGCTGAGGCTGAGGCTGAGGCTGAGGCTGAGGCTGAGGCTGAGGCTGAGGCTGAGGCTGCAGGCTGAGGCTGAGGCAGGCTGAGGCTGAGGCGAGGCTGAGGCTGAGGCTGAGGCTGAGGCTGAGGCTGAGGCTGAGGCTGAGGCAGGCTGAGGCTGAGGCTGAGGCAGGCTGATGCTGAGGCAGGCTGAGGCTGAGGCTGATGCTGAGGCTGAGGCTGAGGCAGGCTGAGGCTGAGGCAGGCTGAGGCTGAAGGCAGGCTGAGCTGAGGCTGAGGCTGCAGGCTGAGGCTGAGGCTGCAGGCTGAGGCTGAGGCTGAGGCTGAGGCAGGCTGATGCTGAGGCAGGCTGAGGCTGAGGCTGAGGCTGAGCAGGCTGAGGCTGAGGCTGAGGCTGAGGCTGAGGCTGCATGAGGCTGAGGCTGAGGCTGAGGTTGAGGCTGAGGCAGGCTGATGCTGGCTGAGGCTGAGGCCGAGGCTCAGGCTGATGCAGGCGGAGGCTGAGGCCGAGGCTGAAGGCAAACTGATGCTGAGGCTGGCAGGCTGAGGCTGAGGCTGAGGCAGGCTGAGGCTGAGGCAGGCTGAGGCTGCTGCTGCTGAGGCAGGCTGAGGCTGAGGCTGAGGCTGATGCAGGCTGAGGCTGAGGCAGGCTGAGGCTGAGGCCGAGGCTGAAGGCTGAGGCTGAGGCTGAACTGAGGCTGAGGCTGAAGCAGGCTGAGGCTGAGGCTGAGGCAGGCTGAGGCTGAGGCTGAGGCAGGCTGATGCTGAGGCAGGCTGAGGCTGAGGCTGAGGCTGAGGCTGAGGCAGGCTCAGGCTGATGCAGGCTGAGGCTGAGGCCGAGGCTGCAGGCAGACTGAGGCTGAGGCTGAAGCAGGCTAAGGCTGAGGCTGAGGCAGGCTGAGGCTGAGGCTGAGGCTGAAGCAGGCTGATGCTGAGGCAGGCTGAGGCTGAGGCTGAGGCTGATGCAGGCTGAGGCTGAGGCAGGCTGAGGCCGAGGCCGACGGCAGACTGAGGCTGAGGCTGAAGCAGGCTGAGGCTGAGGCAGAGGCAGGCTGATGCTGAGGCTGAGGCAGGCTGAGGCTGAGGCTGAGGCTGAGGCAGGCTGAGGCTGAGGCCGAGGCTGCAGGCAGACTGATGTTGAGGCTGAGGCAGGCCGAGGCTGAGGCTGAGGCAGGCTGAGGCTGAGGCTGAGGCAGGCTGAGGCTGAGGCTGTGGCTGCGACTGCCGTTGCCACTGCGACTGTCATCGCGAATGCGACTAAGTCTGCGAGAACAGCAGAATTCTACAACTGGATTGTCATGTGAATCTCAAGGGGAATGCTTCCAGATATGCTCCTACACATCGCTGTTAGGTTGCTTTGCTGGGATAATCTCAGCATATTCGCCGTTCGGATTTCATCAGCTTTCAAGACGGTTTCAAAGCCCCCGAGATCGCCTCAAGACGCCCCAAGAGGCCCAAAAAAAAGCTTCAAGACGGCCGAGCCGGGCCCCACGGTCGCCCACGAGAGCCCCAAGACAGCGCATAATGGAACCAAGAGGCCCCCCAAGGGCTCCCAGCACAGACCCAAAAGGGCCATGGGAGGTC